GTCTTTAAGAATGTCGCCGAGTAGGCGAGAAATCGCCAAATGTCGTCGAGGCCTTTTAGGAAAGAAACTGCTTATAATATCGAGTTCTAATTGAGATATTTTTGAAATTCCAAAATCCATTGGCACTCAGAATTGAAATATCTACAATTCTTTGCACAAACAAACCCTTAATTACAACACATGTGCCCACAAATTAACACAAAATAAGCCATAACCATTCTAAAAAAAAAAAAATAAACAATATAGAAAAATAAAAATGCTATCAAAAAAGGATTAAAATATTTATAACCATGCATAACACTTACGGCGATCAAGAATCACATAACACAGTTACTTGACTAATCATCAAACGTGTATCAATTGCCAAAATTTTCGGGTTGGCGAAGAACAATTACGAAAGGCAGACAGATGATGATAGTCTACTTCATTTATATGAATTCGGAGAATTTGAACGATGACATGTTACCACAAGAAACAAGATTTACCAAACCACACAGAATAATCATGTTCTGAATACGGTGAGACCTGATAACTAAATATTATTTCAACACACCATAGTAGCCGCGATTCGAATCATTATACGGTCACAGAACGTCCCTTATTTTCATTTACAGCTAGACAGATGCAATACACTAAGAGAATTTGTCAGACAGCCGAGCTAATGCACGATAATTGATTACATTCATTCCGTTTTGATCAAGCATTTCTAGATAACGTTGCATTTGCAAAACGCTCGCAATGAATTAAACTTCACACTAAATATAGGCAGTTTATAAAGTCTCTACACATTTTGGCTTAAACAAGCTGTATTCTTAAATATAAGTTATTTAAATGAAAATGAAACATAATAGAACACAAAATTAATACAATTTAGTGTCCCCCCCGAGTGTCTAGGCATAATTGCCACCGTTCCACTACACTCTGGAAATAAAGTTATTGGTATAATTTCAGCTGCTGCAGCCATAATTTACCGTTTTAATTGTTCAATGCTGCCAGTCTTCATTCGGTACACTTCGGACTTGACAAAACTCCATACGAGTTAAGACTGGTGACTGTGGAGTCCAAAGCCGTCGAGAACCACGATCAATCCACCTACCAGGAAAAGTTTTAACAAGATAATAATTACACACAATAATGGCAAACTGGGAAGATACACTATCATGTTGGTAGACTACTTTGTCAATAATGCCATCTGATACTAGCTGTGGCTCAAGATGCTGTTGCAATATTATCGAGATAAATTTCTCCAGTGGTCCTTTCTGCAAACATGAGAGCTTAGCTATTCCAATCCATATTTTAACTTTAGGTGTGTTTCCATGAGAATATACCGAGTATGCGAAATACCGAGTTCCCGACTTCCTGAAGATGCCTGGCTAATCGCTTCTTGTACGCTTTGCTCAACTGTGGCGTTATCGAAGTTCTCCCAGGGCGGTCTTCATCTTTAACAGTACCAGTTCGCTTGAATCTGTTTACTGAGGTTTTAATAGCTTCTCTGGTAGGCGCTTGTTTTCTGAATTTGCGTTCGATTTCTCTGGGACCTGTTGATACGTTAATCTACGTGTACGGGGGGGAAAAAATGACTATTCTTCAAATGACTATTCTCAAATATGTGTAGAGACTTTATAAACACCCTGTATATATGGTAAGAAACTTGTTGACCATCAGAACACTCAGTGACGGACCTTACCAATATTCTAAAGAACCACTGCAGAGGAAAGACATTAATTACAGCAATTTTTATGTACCTTATCCTTGCGAAAATCTTTAAATTATATTTCATATTTGAAATTCCTAAATAAGTATCAAATAAGATTAGCTAAATATTTAAAAGCGATTAGCTAATGCAGCGAAGTTTAGTCCAAATATTTGATAGGGATTCTTCAAGGAACATTATAGATACGGGTCATCTATGATTGGCCAATTCGACTAAATTTATGTCTTAACACTGCTAGGAATTATTCATGGAGCATTTTATGTCTGGATCATCTATTTCTGAGAAATTTAGTTGAATTGGCTAATCATAGACGATCCGAATCTAAAATGTTCTACGCGAAAGTCTTAGCAATTTCTCATGGAACATATTCTCTGCATATCCAGAGAACCTCGGTTGAGAAACCCTGAACTTCGAAAAATGAAAGAAGTTACAAACGTTTTTTCTCCTTCTTATGAAGAATTGCGACACTGATAATATTTTCGCCATTTCCTTTTTTAGTACTTACCGTCGACAGTGAAAACTGATGGAGTTTCCTCAAAGTTGCGCCAATCCTTCCAACGGAATTCTGAAAAAGTTGACGACTCCTTATTTAATAAACAATCAGAATTTGATGCACTTCATTTCTAAGCTTCGTGAAAACATTTTCATCGATTTCTACTAGTCTGTTAGGCCTTCCCATTTTATTTAAAGCTCTGTTTAGAAGGCTACGAATACAAATTTCCCACATATGATTGTTCTAAGGTATAAGAGCACGGTTGGTTCATATTTAGATGTTCTTGTTCCCTCTTCAACAGATGCTAATTCTCCCGCCCAGATGTAAATGGACCGACCGGAGTGCAGTCACAAATGTGAATCTACGGTCGTCGAACCATGTTCCTTTTCAAATGTATATTCTCTTGCCACAATTTTTTGTGACTGTTTATCTATTCTCAAAAGCAAAAAGCGACTTATCGAGAATCAGTCGGGGCTAGATCAACCAAAGCGATAATGTTATGAGAATTTTGCTAGGTAACGCTTATCGATAACTGACGCTAACTCGAGCTGTCTGGCGATAATTTCACGATCGATGATACGCATAAAGATAAGATTTTTTTTTTTTTTTTTTTTAAGTTCAGTAAATATCCTCTTCTTAAACTAGAAACCATTCGCTATTATTTTCACCTCTTATTACAATATTACACTAAGTTTACAGTCTCCTCCTTTCGCTTGTTTCGTGTGCCAGCTACCCGTGAGCCCAGCTAGGACCTGTCGAGCAATGTGGCTCCTAATCAAAGGAAAAAGCTTTTTGTCACTTTGACTATGCAAAAGCAAACTTTGTCACCATTCTACAGCATCGTTTTACAACACCGCGTGAACAAAAATCTGACTCGACACTGGATTGGGCATTTAACAAACCACAACGTGGCTCTGGCTTGCTGCTCACCAAGAAATCCGTATTCAACATCACCAGACAACTATTCGTGAGGGTACGGACGAGGATCGAAATTATGTCTCTCCCCTTTCTACAAGTTTGGACGACCTCAAACAATGCATCTCATGATGCATTGTTTGAGATCGTCCAGCTGCTGCAAATTGTGACAAGCATCTTCAGGCGTGTTGTCATGTCACAAACAGATCACATGTAAAGAGTGCCCCAATAAATGCCCCGGAATCTGCATGCCCAGTAAAATACTTTATTTTCAGTACATGGAAAATATTTATATATACTTACAACAGGTAAACGCTCCGATTTTAGAAAGAAAAATAATGCCCGGCATCATGTCTTCCACGACTTGTTCTACAGCACCGTACACTCTGGATGAAATTAATAAACACTTTTTCATATCTGCCTATCTGGGCAACTAATGGCACGCTCAATTTCCCATTTAAGTTCTTTAAATTCTTCTATTTGAGTTCGGATTCTTTGGGACTTGCAGTAAGACAGTCATGCATAACAGCGATGCTTACAACGAACCGGCTAGATCGAGAGCAGAGTGATTTAAATGTCTGCTTTCGAGCCCGTGCCCTCAAATTTCTTTATCAATCTGAAATTTGTTTTTCCATTAGGTGCATTTTCATGTCAAATAATCGCACGAAGCTGCCTAACAATCTGTGCATAACATGCATCACTCTTGTAATGAATTTTTACAAACAAACTTTGCGAAATGAACTGACAAACATAAAATGCCAGTCTTGCCGGTGAAATCAAACTTGACATTCTTAAATTGGAAAATTTGTTTGAGTATGCAAAATTACAGTTGCGTTCTACGGGTTCGTGGATTTGGAGTGATTGACGGCAACACGTGATGAAAAATCAAAACACAATTTATTCGTCAGTATTACTCCAGACAGTTCCAAAGGCGCGTTTCAGTCGTAGAAAAGCTACGATAAACACGCAGAAACAATCAGCAGCAACACAGCATCAGGTTATAACGGCGAAGACAGCTTCACGGCAAAATACAGCTCCCGACACAGTCGATCGTTCTTGAAGCTCAACACCAACTCTTTACGATAACTCATGATACACTGCTGCTACTCCGAAGACAGGCAAGCTTTTAGTTTGCCTTCAAGAACAATTGGGAAAAACCCGTAAGAAGTCGTTCTAGAATGTTCTCGCTCCGGCTGTGGCATATCGCCAATTTTGTCGCCAAAAGGGCGATGTCGCGCCAAATGTGGCAAAGCCGTCTCTCCTTGCCATTTTCTGGCAATCCTAAACCCGCTTTGCGGGGAAGCTATCATACCGCGGGTGGGCATTTCGTAACAATATTTTCCATTTCTTAAAAAAAAAAAAATAATAATTTTGTGGGCATATTAAATCCGGCGCTCTTGTCGGGACTCCTATAGAAGGTTTATAATTTAGCCATGTCAACTCGAGGAAGCATGCTTCTAACCATATTGGCATTTTAGCCGTTTATTTTACAGAAATAAAGCGGTTATTTCTGTAAAACTTCGAAAACGTCATCTAAGGATAGTACCAATTCAGTATATTCTGAATGCATCGTAAATCCACGAAAACAAGTCCGAGATTCAAAATACCTTGCTAGGGTCAAGAATTATATCACCATGCAGGAATAATATGCAGGTGCATGTATGCATATGAACTTAATCAACGTCTTGTTGTTACACTTCTTCTTATCAAAAAACAGTACACTCCCCCTCTAAAAAACTGCCTCGATTACATTTTGGCACGTTCGTACATTTGTAGACAATCTCGTCGTACAATGAGAAAAACGGACTAGTGTTACGCCTTTCAACCCAATATCAGCTTGCTAAAGAATAAAATAAATAGGTGTAAAAATCTACTTACATTCTTCTGGTCAACGTCTAAAGCATCCCACATGGCAGCGACGATTTTGGACACTTCCCCAAAACTCGCATTCGGCTGTTGGCCTTTGATGGCAGCTTGAGTATCGCGGAAGAACAACGCATAAGCAGAGACGGGCCTGCAAATAAACAGTAGCTATTGAATACAACAACTATGGACTTACTTACATTCTTTTCAAACGAATGCTCACTCCAAAAAGTATTCGTGTGAAAAGAATGAGTTTCAAAATTCCAATACTCTTTTATTAGCAGCATTTCCTTAACGATAAATAAATAAAATAAAATCTGAAATACGCCCAAAGAAGCGTTTTTTAACGTTTTGTGTATTACCTTTATTTATTAAATATCATGTTCTCCGCACTTAAACCATAAAACTCAGTTCAATAGCAATACCCCAAAATAATTAACAAAGAGCCAAAATAATTAACAAAAAGACTGTGTATCGGAAATTCTAAAGAATCTTCCGATACACAGTCTCACGCGCTGGCGATAAAAAAAAAAAAAAAAAAAAAAAAACTTTTTTTTACCCCCTACGGTGTTGCCATTGCTCGCTTTGAAATCGTTCAGTTTCTTAATCAAATATTTATTAAGGTTTTACAAAATATGAAATAGATAATAAAACAACAGCGATACAAAATATGAAATAGATAATAAAACAAATTCCAAATTTGGGCTTTCAGATGCGCACATTCGAGTGGAGGACTACGTTATTTAAAATTGGATGTCTCTACGTACCGTTGTTTTTTCACAGTGCCAGAAAGACTGTGCCATTTATGCCATTTTTCACAGTGCCATTTATGCAGATTTTTCGTTATTTAATTTCTTTAAATATAATGCAGCGCTCTAAATTTGGCGGCAACAATTTCAAAAGTGAAACGCCATTTTCTAGTGGACGACGCAAAATGCCAAAACAAAATTAATAGCTCTTCTGGTAAAATTGCCCTTTTGCGCTGAAAAGAAACAGACGAAGAAAAAGAACGCAGCATGTACCAAACAGTCTACGTATGCAATAACAGAACTTTTTGCGTTTTTCACAAGATATTCAACATTTTGTTCCATTTTGCCCATCAGATTATTATTATTAATACGACTACAGTCGATCTTAGTATGCACGGGATATCACATGAATGTCGACAACAGTTGGCACTCATGAAATAATATTTAATAGCAAAGCATTGTACGAAAGAATATCTGGAAAGGAGGAACTCAATTATGAAGGGAATATCTGTGACCTTAAAGTAGCCTTAGTTGTAAAAGAATTTTATTAATGTCACTGATAACATATTGTTACGTTATTTTCTTCCTTCACGTTCGTACGGGGTTCGTAGATTTGGAGTAAATAACGACGACACTTGATGAAGTATCGAAACACACTTTATTACCAGTATTGTCAGGACAGCTCCAAAACACGTTTTACTGTCGTCGATGAACTACTATAAAGACGCTGACACGATCAACGACACAGCCTTCAGGTTATCAGGCTATCGCGGTGGAGACAGTTTCCTGCAAAGCACTAGAGTACAGCTCTCGACTCTTCGTGGTAGTTCTCGGAACTCCACGTACTCTCGAGACTCCACGCTACAACCTCCCGTTGCACTCGACGACACACGAGCACAGCTCCCGACTCTTCGGTTCAGTTGTTCCCAGAGCTCAACGCGCTCTCTCGACGATGCACTAACCGCGATACACTAACAGACTCCTTCGGTGCACTCGACGACCCACTCGGCACTCGCTGCCCGGCTGTCAACTCGATTGACTCCACAGGGATTGATTCGCTAGACGAGACACCAACTCGATACTAACTAACTCGCACTTCAGACGAAGTAGTCTGACTCGCCCTCTCAACGAGGCACACCCTCTGAGACACACACTCCCGATGATTATCAGCTCGCTAGACAAGGCACACACACTAACTGACTGCGGACCAGCAGGGTTTACATAGCTTTCGGCCTGTGTTCCGGAACACTCTGGGCCAAACCGGTAAGAATTCGTTCCAGAAGGTTCTCCAACCGTCCATGGTATATCGCCAATTTTGTCGCCAAATGGACGATCTCCCGCCAGATGTGGCAACCATGCCCTCCTTGCTATTTTATGGCAACCCTGAAACTGCTTTGCGGGGATGCCATATCACCGCGCCTGTACATTTCGTAACAATATCTTAACCGAACATCAGAATGAGATCAACAACTGATGAATGGATTAATTTCCTGAATTTTAAATTTAACGTCAGCGACATGACAAAAAATAATCAAATTTTAATTATTTCTTAGTTGCCACATGTGAAGATGTTGCGCATGGACATTTATGTCGGGAGTGATACACCCAGAACCCTCTTAACAAATGGGTCCGCTGGGCACTTCCAGGGGGGCCCTCATGCTAATCCATTTACATTTCATTTCTGTGACAGTGGTCGTCGTAGGGACACCAACACACTGATTTTTCCAAGGGCCCATAATGCTGTTATGACGGAACTGGATATACCAAGAAATAAAAGTCACTAATCGTATCACTGGAAAGTGAATTGGGAAAGCCAAAATAGACGAGCGATATTTTCACATGCATACATGAAAATTGTACATGATTGAAGATAAAAGTGGCAAACTACTTACCGGCGATAGTTAAAACAGAAAATAGTAGTAGTTACAGGTAGAAAATAGTTATCGCAACAACAACAACCTGCTGGAATAACAGATGAAAACAATACCAGCAAGCCCTTCTAAGAAAAGCTACATACAAGATCCGAGCTTAGATGAAGGATGGATGTACAGTGGTGCACATTACCCACGCAATTGGATTTTTAAAGAGGGAATGACCACTTGGAATTATGAGGCACATTCCCTATTCGTTCCTTTCCAGATTAGGCTTTGCTTGTTTTCTGGTAAAGAACTGGTCCCTAAATATGTGTCAAAGTTCTGAGATCTGAAAGGCATTCTACGGATATCCTCACCTTCCAAGCGATCACCTGTTCGAAGAGGGGTGGCGCTATTATTCATACAAAGAAATGCTTTGCCAATGGCACCACGGAAAAAAAATGTCATTAAATAACTTCTTTTTAATCACGATCGCTCGTCATGATGCCATTATCCAGCACCTGTAGAAGCTCAGTGCGTACATCCATCATTATGCAGTCTCGCAGCTTCTTCCTAACACCACTATAACGATATACAGGTGTCCATAAAATCCTGAAAAACTAACTTGCTGTTTGGGAATGCAACAAATTATACCTTTGGCAATGGTCACACTTTCACAAGGTTGAAAACTGTGACAAATGACAATAGTTATACAATCTCGACCAGCAGCAAAATGATCTCTAGTTGATGGTCCTCCAACTGTGTAAGTAATCAATTCATCCAAGTAAACTCGGACTCTTACTGTTCATTCATGGCATAAAAATGGTCCTAATATCTTATTACGCAGCATCTTACAACAAACATTCACCTTCGGGCTGTCCCTTTGTGGTATGATTTTTTTCAGATCCCCAAATCCTCACAATATATGTATATTAAAGCCAAATACTGTAAGAGGTTAGTGCTGTATATTTTTACAGCGCTAACCTCTTACGGGATGCCAAAATAACACGGTCAATTTTCTCCCGGATTTTGTTGACACCCAATGTTCCTTGCACCTGGAACGCCTTAATCATTTCATCCCAGCTAAACTGCCATCTGAAATCCGACTACAGACTGAATGGCTTATTGCAGCATTATCCAATTCCTATGAGTATGATGCCATTGCAAAAACTCTTTCTACTACGGTATAATTCGAGCACCGAGCTGCAACACAAACAAGGCGTCAATTGGCAGGCCGGATAGCTCGACGGCGTTTAGTTGTTACTTCCAGATAACTGTCTTTTTTTTTTTTTTTTTAATCATGGAGAGAATGCGATAATTCTGCTGAATGTTGGGAACACATTTCAGTTGTTCGAAACGCTGTTTAAAATCTAGACACAACACACCGTGTAATTCCAAAATCTCCACTGCAGTTTTGTTACTTATGATGCCTTCTTCCAGCCTTCCTACTGCAAAATAATCGAAATGGTATCTTTTGGCACATGATGAAAAGTTCACATATTGAGTTACTACGTGAACTCAAAATACAAGGATCGGAAATATAACTTTCTACTGTGATTTAAGTTGACAAGTCATCTTTAAATTTTGGGATGAAATATCACAGGCATCCTGAAGAACAAAACCAAATGCGAAATCGCCAAGCCCCAAGTATTCCTCAGAAGTGCAGAACGTTTGCAATCTAAATGGAGAATGAAAGTTTATGCTAGCAAAGGCTTAACATTGCTCTAAAATGCGAAAAATATATGACAACATATTACTTTCAACGGTGATATCCTCCCACACGCCAAAAGTGTTAAATACTTTTAGGAATCACACTGAATTACACTAATTAGAAAACTAATCTTGGTGTCTCTCTACTCAACTCATTAAGTGGACGCAGAACTGAACATAGAAATAATGGAATTAACTTCATGACTATGATTAAGCCCATACTTATTGTATGCCTGCCATCTGGACATTAAGAGCCAAAGGCAAAGATTATACAAACTTTTCAAAACAAAGTCATTCGTATAATCCTTAGCATCACGTGATTTGCTAGACAACACAAGTTTTATTACGTTAGATGTCTTCCTCCTAAGGATTGCAAGTAACTCCCTTATATTAACAGGCAAATCCTAGCATGAGCTAATAGGTGGTGTTCCTGCCGAAAATTTTAAATGCAGAAGATGAAAAGACAATTTTTCATAATGAGGATGGCAAATGCTAAACACAGAGTTTTAAGCAGCGCAATAACTTCTAAAGTATGTTACTCACAGGGACAAATAGGGCTCGTCTAACCGGCACAGGCAGTTTGAAAAAGAGTATCGCCACCAGCATAAAGTTCAGTACCGTGAGGAAAACAATGCTTATCAAGGATGCCAAGATGAAGGTTTTAATCTTGGTGACCAGCCACAAACTTGCACAAAGGTGCCGGAACCACTTTCAAGGTCGCAACACCTTCCAGACATAAAGGCACATATGTGTCGGCCCCCTTATGAAGTTATGTACCACGAAGGAAGTAACTTTCGTCAAGGCCGCCGGAACGCCCATATGAAGGTCGTAATCTTGGC